AACCGCTTCCGATGGCGTCGAGGGAGGTGTCGAGTCACCCTCGGCGGCGCCTACTTTCCCGGACGGGGTTTCCCCTTGGTGGGGCAATGTGCAGCATCGTGGATGGTGCTATTGCACCAAAGGCAGTAACGGTACTTGAGTCTCGTGCGATAGCAATTCGCCAAGAGTCCGTATTGTGTCCAAGGTTCGTCGGCCGCTGATCCGGTGCTCGGTGTAGAGGTGGACTGAGTCTTCGTCTTGTCGCGGCCGTGATTGTTGCGCGGCCGGCCACCATCCCGGGCAGCTGCCAACACTTCACCCTCGTTTGGTGTTGCAGCCTCGGTAGAAGTAATGCAAGCCACCTTTGGCTTAGGCTGGGTGCTGCTCGTCGTCGCGGAAGATTGGCCGGCGTTGCGGGCTTCTATATTTGTGAGAATGATCCGTGACGCTGTGCTGAAAAGCTTGTCAGATGTGTCGAGTGTCTCTGTAATCTGCGTCAGCGCGTTTTGCAGAGCTGGACACGAGCGCATGAAGAACAAGTGCTTGATGGCGCGGAATGCTAGCGGCAGGTCAGGTGTGGAGGCGAGTCTTTGGAACTCGGTAATCCAGTCCTGACTGAGCAGCGTGTTCTGATGGAGCTTGTTGAGCTTGTCCATCGCTTGCAGGTAGGGCGGCTTCACTTGGAATCGCTTGTGACAGGCGTCAGTCAACTCCTGCCAAGTGAGCTTGGTGTGCAGTTCCGACACTGCTACACCGTGGCTGGTCAAGATGTTGTCTAGCCATGCTTGACATGCACCACCAGATCGGTGGTACAAGCACGGATGTCGATCGTTGTTCGGGACATGGTGCATGTCGAGCCTGAGAGTAAACTGGCGCCACCACGGGATCGGTTCCGTCTTGGACTGATCGCAGAAAACTGGAATGTCATCCAGTTTGGGTGGGCGCCTGGAGGATGCGGCGGCGGGCGTCACGGTGGCAGCAGCCTGGACCTGCGTCTCCAACTGCAAGTTCGTTGCTTGCTGCGACGTCCTGAAGTCCTGATGCACACGCTTGATATTGCTGACGTCATCCTCCAAAACTTGCACGCGGGTGGTGAGGTTGGAAGGCCCAGCGGCTGCTACAGCAGCTGGCTGTTTCTCCAACGCCTGCAACCGTGTAAGCATCTGGTCCACTGTCTGCTGCAGGTGAAGGATTTCCTCCTGCTGCAGAGCGCAGGTGGCCACGAGGTTGTGGGAGATCTGCGCAACGGCGGACAGCCCTTTGTCAGTCTCCGGGGCCTCGTCTGCAGATGCTATCGCCATCCAATGTGCGGTCTCATCGCCGATCACGGTCTCCCGCGTGAACAGTCGTTCCCGCTGGCGTGACCGGTGTTCAGCTGCCGCCTGCAGGTCTGCCTCCTCTTGACGAAGTTGGTCCTGTTCCTCCTTCCGTCGCTTGGCCTCCTCTTCTTGCTCAATCTGACTACGTTCCTTGGCCGCGGCGGCGGCCCTATTGTTGGCCTCTTGGATGAATGCCGCCAGGCGTTCCTCGTAGGCCAGGAGGGATTCTCCCGCCTTCCGGTCCATGGCCTTGGTCTGTGATCGAGTGAGCAGTGGCATGCACTGTCGTGCCCGCACTCTGAAGAGTCACTTATGGGCCAATCAGATAGACTGGCCCAGTACCCGGACTGGAGGGGAAGGAACAGGTAGGCAACAGACAAGTGGGAAGGATCGGACAGATCCCAAATTGAACAGTTTCCTAATCAAGAAAAAAAAAATAATTTTTGATTAAAAAAAATAAATTGAAAATTCGAAAAAAAGACTGTCCAATCCCACTGAGTGCCGAAGGTGATGCAGAAAGCAATTGTGAACCTTCGGTGCTCGGACTGCAGAGAATCAGAAAAGAAGGATCTTTACGAACTCAGAGTAGGAGTAGGTTGCGAAAAGAAAAAAATGCCCTTTTTTTTTTTTTTTTTTGAAAAAAACGAACGGAATTTGCAGACCTACACAGTGAAAGTGTAGAGGGACATTTTCGGAAAAAAAATCGAAATTGTCAAAATGCAGACATTTAATAATTAAACAAGGGGAAAACAAAATTCTCGGAAAAAGAATTTTCAGAACGGAAAAAATTATCGGCAAACAAATTTCTCGGAAAACATAATTTTTCGGAATATAATAATTTCTCGAAAAAAAATTCTCGGAAAAAGAAATTAATTTCTAGAAAAAAATTCTCGGAAAAATAAAAATAAAAAAATCCCCGAGAAAAAAAAAAATTAATAATAATTAATTCCGGGAAATTTCCAAGATTAAATAAACAATTGCCAAATAATCAATCAACTTAATTCAATCAATCAATCAATCAATCAGTCAATCTCAGATGATTGCTGGTTGATTGATCGATTGTTCGATCAATCTCCTGATTGACTGATCAATCAATCGAAGATTGATTGGTGGCAAACCACCAATCCAATCAATCAATCCGATTGATTGGTTGTTGCCAAGATTCATCGCACTAGCTCCGATACCACTTGTAGCATATCAGAAAGTGAAATGCACTGAGAGCCTAAGATCTAGCAATGACGAAAGTGGCAACAACCAGCATAGGTGCAACATTCACAAGATGTCAATGTGCACGATGCAAAGAGTGAACCACGAGAAATCAACAACAACACATTCGTATCATTATCATCATGGGCTGGGAAGCAGCGCAGCGGAAGATTTAGTATCAAAAGGACACGTGGACAACAACATGAAAGGGAGAAACTTCGGAAGGGCAAGACATCAGAAAGATTGCCC